TTATTGCTTGTTGTGATTCTGAATGACTTCTTTAGTAATAATTTATCTCTTGACTAGGATCTGAAAATTTTCACATTCACAAAATATCTTTTGTATTTATTTCCTCTTTGGTCAGGTCAGTTGAAAGGGAATATGATGACCTGAGCTTAAAATCCCGAGAAGCAGAAAAGGAGGTGAACATGTTGCAGATGAAGATTCAAGAAGCAAACAGTAGCCTATCCAAGCATCACAAGGATACAGAATGTAAGCGTGGTGTATAATCGACAGATAGATATCTTTTTTTTTTTTGAAACACTAGCGCCTTAAACACAAGGATACAAAATGCTCTTGGCAGTTTTGTAAGTTTTCACCGCTAACAATTAATTCTTTTAATACTAGCTACCAGAACTGACATATATAACACAGAAAATGAGTTCATTAATGAGTTCAATCTGATTTGTGTTGATTTATGCAGCAAGAAAGAGATACATTGAGTCCAAGCTTCAAGCCTTAAAACAGGAATCATTTACCATTGACGCTTATCCCAGATTGTTGGATTCGGCTAAGGACAAACGAGACTACCACAAAAGGTTTTTGGTTAAAAATTGCAGACTATTTTTACATACCCAATTTCAAGCTTTGCGTGAATACCAAGATATTTCCGTCTTGCATTCAAAGCGTAATTCTTATTCTGGTCTGTGTTTGCAGCAAATATAACATGGCAACTGGCATGCGCCAGATGTTTGAGCCATTTGAGCAGGTAGCCCGTGAACATCATTTTTGTCCTTGCTGCGAGCGCACTTTTTCAGCTGAAGAAGAGGATAACTTCGTTAAGAAGGTTAGAAAATTTTCTCCTGTAGATTTTTTCCTTTACATCATACTTTCATACTATTTATGCTTCTGAAATAACTTTTTGTATCTTCATTTGGTGATTTGCTTTTCAACTACAGCAAAGGGCTAAGGCTTCAACCACGGGGGATCATGTCAAAGCATTAGCAGCAGAATCTTCAAACGCTGACTCTATCTTTCAGCAGCTGGATAAACTTCGCTCAGTTTTTGAAGAGTACACGAAACTAACTGATGAAATTATTCCTCTCGCCGAGAAATCTTTGCAAGAATTTACAGAAGAGCTGGAGCAGAAGTCGGAAGCCCTTGATGATGTGAGTTGGAGCGCTCTAGAAATTTCCTTGGACATAACTGATTTGAAGCAGCAAAGTCAATTAGAGTCATTAGATATCTTGCTGCTTTCTGCTTGCTCTGTTTGTTCTCATCATATTGTGATGCAAATCAACGATTTGCTCATATCTTCTCGCAACCTGTAAGTCCTGGTTCTCACATCATATAACATCAATATTTTCAGGTATTGGCAATCTCAGCGCAGATAAAATCTGACAAAGACTCAGTTGAAGCACTGGTGCAGCCACTGGAAAATGCTGATAGGCTTTTCCAGGAAATTGTATCCTACCAAAAGCAAATTGAAGATCTCGAATATAAACTTGATTTCAGGGGTCTTGGGGTTAAAACTATGCAAGAAATCCAATCAGAGTTGAGTAGCCTCCAAAGCACCAAGTAAGTACCGTAAATTTATGCAGGGTGAAACATTTTATTTCCGTAGGATATATCTTGGTTTAGCATGTACGAATTTTTCTGTATAGTCCTGCCTTATATACCCATGAACAGGGATAAATTGCACGAAGAGCTGGAGAAATTAAGGGATGAACAGATTTACATGGAACGTGATATATCGTGCCTCCAGGCCAGATGGCATGCACTAAGAGAGGAGAAGGCTAAGGCTGCCAATTTGTTACGCGACGTTACAAAGACAGAAGAAGACCTAGAGCGTTTAGCCGAGGAGAAAAATCAACTTGACCTAGACGTTAAGGTGCGTCTTGTGCGAGTTTTCTTTACATTGTTTTCCACTTGTCTTTCCAGTGTCACCGGTATGATTTCATCAGAGTACATTGTTCATTAGCGAATATGGAGTTTCTAATTTATTAAAGCCATGATCATGGACTAGAGTTTGCCAATGTGAGGATGTGATTATTGAATCATTTGTCCGTCTGATAAAATATGCTTCCTAGTAATACAATGCAATGGGACAAGCTTTGAGGATATGTAGAAGATACATCATAAAATGAATAGCAATAACTTTTTCTCGAGTAGGGTGGTAGTGTGCTTCTAAATGGTTCTTCTTGTGTATTTGAAAAGCTTCAAGTATATATTGTCTATGCATTCATTGAATTGTGATAACGTAGGTTTTCAAACATGCAAAATGTAAACTTGGTCTTCTATATTCCTGTTCACGCTATAATTTTTTCAGTCACTTTAAGTTTAGAAACCCTTACATGTAACACAATCTTTCTTTTCATTATTTTCAGCATTTGGCCGAGGCTTTGGGCCCTTTATCCAAGGAAAAGGAGCAGTTACTAAGTGTTTACAATGATATGAAAGTTAAACGTAATCAAGATTATGAAGAACTGGCTGAGAAAAAGAGAAACTATCAACAAGAAGTTGAGGCATTACTCAAGGCCAATTCTAAGATTAATGAGTAAGTTCTGTTATGGTTAATTCAGCATTATCATGTATCATGTGTGCCAGATAGGCTTACAGCTTCCTTCACCAGGTATCGTGATCTGAAGAAAGGAGAACGGTTAAATGATATTCAAGAAAAGCAGCGGACAGCGGAATCCCAGCTTCAAAGCTCTGAATCTAGAAAGAATGAAATTGCAGCTGAACTGAACAAAAATAAAGACTTGATGCGGAATCAAGATCAACTGAGAAGAAATATAGAGGATAACTTGAACTACCGTATAACAAAAGCACAAGTCGAGGTGCTTACATGTGAGATTGAATCACTGGAAGCGGAAATCTTGAATATTGGTGGGATACCCGCAGTTGAAGCTGAAATTGTAAAGATATCGCGGGAAAGAGATAGACTTCTTTCAGAGGTACGCAGCTTATATAACTATAGCAGTCCCTCTTATTATAAACGTAAATTGAAAATGATTTTGGTGCCTATGGTTAGCTAGTCATTTGCTGTCCCTGATGCTAAGTTTAAAATCTTGCAGTGCCCCATATTTAACCATTTGATATTCTAAGTGGTAGGTTTTTTCTAAGTTTAACCTCGTTTCAAGGCAACCAAATAATATTTAGTTGACAAGAAAGGTTCTCTCATTAGTCATACTGTTAGCAACTGCGATGTGTGAACTTGGAATTATGCTGCGTTATTCTGAATTACCTAGAGATAAGATTTTCATTGAAAGCTACTAGAACTAATGTTATTGTGCTTGAAGAATAATTCTATTTTTATCTTGTAGCTGAATCGGTGTCGTGGAACAGTGTCTGTTTATGAGAGCAGTATTTCAAAGAACAAAGTGGAGCTGAAACAGACACAATACAAGGACATAGATAAGCGGCACTTTGATCAACTGATCCAGCTAAAGGTAAGTCACAATATTATTACTGCGTGGGAATGTCTTGAGGATCAACGATCCCCACTCTATGCTCATAAACTAAACATTTCATTTTGGCCAGACTACTGAAATGGCAAATAAAGACTTGGATAGATACTACAATGCCCTTGACAAGTAAGCTGTTCTTGAGTCTTTTAGAAGTTTGTGGCTGGTTTCTTTTCATTCTACACTATCCTATCCATTTGACAATCATTTTAAATCTGTTGTTTTAACGTATATTTTAATGATATTGAATATATACAGAGCACTGATGCGCTTCCACACAATGAAAATGGAGGAAATAAATAAGATTATAAGGGAACTGTGGCAGCAGACATACAGAGGTCAAGATATTGATTACATAAGAATACACTCAGATTCCGAGGGAGCAGGCACGCGCTCTTACAGCTACAAGGTAGGCTACAGAACTGATGTCAGGTTCTTACCATCTGATATCATCATTAACATCGTGGTGGTTACACTATTGTTTCTTCAGGTTCTTATGCAGACTGGTGACACCGAACTTGAAATGAGAGGAAGATGCAGCGCAGGTCAAAAGGCGAGTGTTCTAAAATCGCTCTTGTAGAAGCATCATTACCTGTTCAATATTCGTTTAAACATCATTATTTAACCGACGTGATCACTTTCTTCGTCATCTTCACCTGCAGGTTCTTGCTTCGTTGATAATAAGGTTGGCTTTGGCCGAGACATTTTGCCTAAACTGTGGAATATTAGCACTTGATGAGCCAACGACAAACTTGGATGGTCCCAATTCAGAATCTCTTGCAGGAGCTCTTCTTAGGTAATAATTAATATCTATACCGTAATTAGTTATTGATAATGACACATTGGTACATGAAATCTCCCTTGCATCAAAAATATAACCATCTAAACGCTGGGTACTTGTATGGCCGTTGGTTGATCTTTAACATTGGATCTTATTATGTCGCTGCATCTTCCAGGATCATGGAAGACAGAAAGGGCCAAGAGAATTTCCAACTCATAGTCATTACCCACGACGAGCGCTTTGCTCAGTTGATTGGCCAAAAGCAACACGCTGAAAAATATTACCGTGTCACGAAAGATGATATGTAAGCAAAACGTCCTTGCTTAACATTCTCATCTCTTCTTTATATTCTTGATCTTAAACTTCGACAACTCCTGATCTTCTCAGGCAACACAGCATAATCGAGGCCCAAGAGATCTTTGATTAATAAAGCTGTTACTCGTCCCCTGTTATCCAACATAGCAGCACTGGCGGCTCATCTTTTTGAAGCTATAGGTAGCTTTCTTGGGTATGTTAATTACAACTCTACATATGGTCTGTTTAAATGTGTGCAAAATTTTAATCGAAGTTAATTTATTCTAAAGACAAATGCAACATTCTAAATGGTTTGATCGTTTTGATTCTCCAGCAAGTCTTTTGTCTTTATTTATGAACGTGAAAACATCATTACAAAACCTGCTATTAACCCATTGTTAATAGCTTCACATCATACACCGGTTTGGTCTTTTTCATATTAAAAAAAATTAGTAGATAGGAGTAGTAGCAACAAGAGTAAAATCTAGCTACTTCTTAATGGACCATGGCTGAACAACCTCAACAGAGTCAAACATAGTGTTCATGTCATCGGGTTGAGTCACTTCAATCCTCATATAGTATTTGAGACCAGCAACGACCTGTTGCTGAGCTGAGAAAACTCTACTAAACATCAAAGGATTCAACACAGCCGTTTTTGCAATTGAAGCTACGTTTACTTTCTCACTCTGTTGTTCCACGCAATACCTGTGAACACAATCACATCACATTTCTCACTCAATATGAAGGACATGTGTGGATGTATGCATGCATACCTTCCAAGTTCTTGAACTTCCATGTTGGTCTGAAGGCTCGGAACATCTGACTTCCCTCCGAGAACCAGTGCTTCCAGCCTTCTTCATAAAAATTATAATTCGGCCGTTAGTTTGCTAAATAGTCTGAGGCTCAGTTGGTAAAAGCCTTGTAAATTCATGCTAAGCTTCCATTCCCATTTGTTCTATTTTACCATTTTTAAACCTTTTGAGTTATTTGGGCTTCCTGTCCAAAATATGTCAGGGCCGGGTCTACTTCTATTTAGGCTTTAATTTGAGAAATTTTGTGTTTTCAATATATGTCGAACATAATTGCCTAACAATATAAATTTACATACATTATTAATTCTATAAATAGATAACGTTAGAACTTTGATATTTTATTAATTTATAGAATTATTAATTTACAAAACGTTTTTATTTTTAGTTTTTTTTTTCTATTATAAGATATATTTTTCAACATACTAAGAAAAAAATGATTCTAGTGTGTATACATTAATTAACTTTTTGAAATTTGACATTTAAAATATTGATAAAGTCATTTTTAATGTGAGAGATTTAATATTTACCGTAATTTATCATTATTTAAAAGTTTAAAATCAAAGTTTGTCATTAAAGTATTATATTCTAAATACTCGTACAATACAATTTTGGAATTAATTATTTACGTATGTTTAAATGATATTTAGTTTAATTTAAACATCACTAATATATATATATATCTAATTTAAATATCTATTAAATGATATTCTTATTCATAGTTATATAATTGTTTGTATCGTGCTATAACAAAAAAATAAACTATTAATCAAAAACACTATATGTGAAATTTTTAAATTTTTATTAATTTATAGTCTTTTTAAAAAATTCAAAATATAACATATATATAAAAAATCTATTTTTTATTATATAGTTAATGTTATTCTTTAGTTTATTTTCACAATATAAATTTAACAAAAAGAACAGAAGCTATAAAACTTTTTATCAAATCATTAATTGACATATATATATATATTATAATCTAGGTAATTCCGTAAATTTTATTTAAGAAAATAATGATTAGCATTAATAATAGTTTTATGTTTAGTTTAATAAAAAATATATTATATGTTTATATGGACCAATATTTTATCTAGTAAATTTGAGAAACATTTTCATGATGACACGTGGCTACCAAAATATGTTGTGATGTTTCTCAATTATAGGGGACGTGGCTACTTTTTTTTATTGATATCCACATTTTTATATCACATTAAACTATTCCAGAAAGAGTTCTCTCTAAATATTATAAACAAACACACAAAAAAAAAGAAAAATTGGTGAGGATGCTCGTCTTCTTTGGTATGACTCGAAATTAGCAAACCTTAAAAATGAGAAAACAAAACCATTATCACTTTGTTTTACATGTCGTAAATATATTCAGAACTTTGTTTTCTCGTGCAGGTTCTTGCTTCTTTGATAATTAGGCTGGCTTTGACCGAGACATTTTTCCCGAACTGTGGTACTTGATGAGCCAACTACAAACTTGGATGGTCCGAACTCAGATCTCTCTTGCAGAAGCTCTTCTTAGATAAGAATTAACATCTATACCCGTTATGAGTTATGATGATGTCACATGGATACAAGTCAAAATTTAACCATCTAAACGTTTGAATCATTTGTTTTCGTTATCACATTATAAGACCATGGATCTTTAACATTGGATGTTATTACGTCACTGTATTTTTACAGAATCATGGAAGATAGAAAGGGCCAAGAGAATTTTAACTCATAGTCATTACACACGACGAACGTTTTACTCAGATGATTGGCCAACGGCAACATGCTGAAAAATATTACCGAGTGCAAAAAGATGATATGTAAGCAATAAACGTCCTTGCTTATGTAACAGGATAAACTATTGAGGATGATTGGTTGGGTTGTAAGTAATGACTTTGGCTTTAATTTCTATTTACAATCATTTAAATCACCAATCATGCTTTAAATAGTTTTTAAAGCTAAAGTCAAAAAAATGGAAAAGTGGTTGTATGATCCCTATTTTCTAAAGCAAAAAAATATTGTTGTAGTATTGTTGTAGGAATATCTTTCCTTTTTTATTTTTTTTTTCATTTAATTTCTACAACTACATTAGATACAACTACTTCAAAAACATCTACAGTCTAAATTCTACAGTAAAATTTTTAAATCTACAATTCAACCAATCACCCCCATTATCCTGTTGGTTTAGTTCTTTAATCTTTGGTTTAGCTTTATGGTTTAGTTCTTTGGTTTACTAAACATTATATGTAATCTCTTTCTCCTTTTACCGGAAATAAATCAAACACAAATATTATCTTCTAAACCCTAAACTCTCTCTCTCTAATCATCATGTTCATCTTCATCCATCATTAAATCTCTCTCTCTAATCATCATGTTCATCTTCATCCATCATTAAATCTCTGTTCTTCGGGTTGATCCTTCTTCCTTCGTGATCATCCTCTAGGCTTTGGTTTACCTTTCTTAGGATTATCGGTGAATCCCTAGATAGGATTTATCTTTCCCGTCACAGCTTACCATTCCCATCTCTTCTTTATATTCTTGATCTTAAACTTCGACAACTCCTGATCTTCTCAGGCAATACAGCACAATCGAGGCCCAAGAGATCTTTGATTGATAGAGCCGTTGGTAGTGCCCTATTAACCAACATAACAGCATCAGCCACTCATCCTTTTGAAGCTATTGGTGGTTTTCTTGGGTGGTATTTACAATTCTACATATGGTTTGTTTAGATGTGTGCAAAATTGTTAAACTAAAACTAAAAAAATTGTAAGTTATTCTAAAGACAAATGCAACATTACAAATGGTCCATGAGTTTGGTTTTGATTCTCCAACGTCTTTTTGTCTTTTTATTTATGAACGTAAATACATCATTAGAAAAAAAAAACTATTAACCCATTGTTAATAGCTTCACTTCATACACCTCTTCAAACAAAGAAATGAAGTTAGTAGATAGGAGTAGAGACAGGAGTGAAACCGAGCAACGTCTTAGAATTGAGCCATGGTTGAACCACCACAACTGAGTCAAACATCCTACTCGTACCGTCGGGCTGAGTTACTTCAATCCTTAGATAGTATTTGAGACCAGCCACGACCTGTTGCTGAGCCGACACAACTCGGCTAAACGTCAACGGATTCAACACAGCTGTGTCTGTAATGGATGATGCTACGTTTCCTTGTTCGCTCTGTTCCCGTAGATTAAATTGTTCCACGCAATACCTGTGATACACAATCACATCACGATTCTAATTCAATATAAACAACGTGTATGGATGTATCATTCATGCATGTATGTCTTATGTATGCGTACCTTCCAAGTTCTTGAACTTCCATGTTGGTCTGAACATTCGGAACATCTGATTTCCCTCCGAGAACGACAGGCTTCCTTATAGCGTTGGCCGATGGAGTCACGATAGCGATCACCAAAAGCCCTAACAGTGACAATTTTAGAGAAACTTGTGACATTGCTTCTGCTTTTTTTTTGTCTTCTACTTTGGCTTTTAAGTTGATATTTCGTGTGATATCTTTGCCTTCTTAATGTTTCTTCAAAGCTTTTCTATACTCTAAGATGAAGTGTTTGTGTGTGAGATGAAAGAGAATGAGAGAGAGAAGTGTTTATATAGAGAGTTTTAGTTTGGGTTTGATGGTGTTTCCATGCCATATGCACCTTCAAGATTCCGCATCTTTTAAGTTACTTTGTCATCAACACGTGAAGTGAGCCCCACCATTTTAAGTTTTAACGTATGTGACAATGCTCGGATCAGAGTTGTTTTATTTGTTTCCTCTCTTTTTAATCTATATTTTTTTCTCTTTTTTTTATTAACCTGTGATATCTCATACCTATGAAAACATCCAGACTAATCTCTAAAAAGTCTTATGGGATACACACTCTCTCCTTACAAACGATAAATTTAGAATTAATTCTGTGATTTTTGGTTAAAAATAATTATGTGATTTTGTTTAGAATATATAGGTGTTTATATGATCAACTATTAACAACGGTTAGAAGGAAAACTTTGGGTTTTTAACTTCAGAATAAATATTCCAACCATTATAAATTAGCTTAACGCCAAAAACTTTTTATGATCTTTTTGTTGTGATAGATCCGTTGTGATTTACTTTTAAATTGTAAGATGACCAAAGGAATCATCCATGCATGGGTGTCTCAAGTCTCTCCTTATCGCCTCGATTTGAGATTGAAAATATTTGTCTTTTTGTTAGTTTTGTTATGGGGCAATAATGATGTTTGGGAGAGCAACACGTATCAATCGAATTTGACATCTGCCCTCTCTTCTCTTCGCATGCTGCTCACGTAGCACCTCCTCCTTACGTATGCTTAACTCCAAATTGTTCAGTAGCTTAACAAAACAAATAAATAAATCTTTTGGCGCATATTGACAACAATATTACACTACTTATCATAAGGTGTTGACCAAAAAAACCTATCTTAAGGTGGGCTTTAGTAGAGCCTTTTCATTCACAAACTTTCACAAACTTTTTATGAGAAGAATAATATGAAAGAAATCGAGTGATTGAGCAGAAAATTCAAAATTAATTTTTTAGTAAATTTTGAAAATTCATGAAAATTTCATCCAATTTTGTGTTAAAACATCATTAAACCCTATGTCAACCAGACTTTCCGCTACTTTCACTTTAAGTAGAAAAAGGCTAGATGCTCTTAAGTAGCTCTTGGGTAACATTTTATACACAAAACTCCTCTTTACATCATTATCTCCCGTAAGTAATCATGTTCAACAATTACATTACATCAATACACAGTTTTGTACAGTTTTAAGTGCTATGATTCTCCAGTACTGTAAAAGCAGTACTAATCAACCATGAGAAACTGAACTGAAGGAGAAAGATTATTAGAAAAAGACACCAGAAAGGCATCTCAATTTGAAATACTCATGTGCGTGTGTTAATCAATGTTTGATTGACAAGTGCTCTTTCAGCTTATTAGATTTGTTTCGATTTGTTTAGTACACTGGCAACACGTCAAGACTTGTAATTTCTTTTGATTACTTTTTGAATAACCTTGCCATGTGTCAACATTAGATTGCATACGTGTCACATGAAGCATTCTATGAGATAGCAAAGAAGTTGTACGGTAGTCTTGCTAACCAGTTGGTTAATCAAGGCCATGTACAAGACATCATCTGCACTTGATCAGCTATTTATTGTTAACTTAAATTTTAATCATGTTACGTTACTAGTCTAAGCAAAAAAAAATGAAATTAAAATTGCTTTTCTTTTACAAGTCACGGGGAACTTTATTTGCAAGTAGATGGTTTTGATGTAATCTAGTTTCTGTTTCCTCTGCATCTAATCATACAAATTCATTTTGAATGAACGTAAAATTATATTCAACCAAAAAACTTGTTTACAGTCAGCTGCAACTTGATTTTGAGAAAATTACTAATGTTCTTTAACTCAAATAAGACAGAGCATAACGATTAAGGATTCCCAAAAGGAAGGCGGGTCTGTGGAGCTGTGTCGTTTAAGTCTCTGGGTCGTTATTGGGTTCTAATTTCTAACGAAGGTTTGGGCTAAGGATGATAATTCCAATAGGAGTTTGCGTTAATGAAAGAGTTAAAACACAAAGTTTAAAGCTTGTTATTTCTGTTACAACGGAGATATCATCGTCTTCCTCAAGAGAGAGAGAAAGAGTTGCAGTAGAGAGAGAGAGTTCAAGAAAAATACAGAGAAGAAAGGGAGAAGCTTATCACGGAGGAGGAGAAAGCTGTTCGATCGAGATACAGAGATCCAGTAGTGGTCATAGCTCTTGAGATCGCCGTTCTTTCTCTGGTTCACGGTTGCGGGTCCTCGTCGTCGGTGGATTCAGAGACTGATAGTAAGTCGTCCTCGTCGCAATCGCTGTGGTAATCTTCTCCGAACGATACTCTGTATATGAGCTTGTAATAGCTGCAAAAGAAACAATCGAGTTAGGTCGGAAACACTGTTGTATCACATCGATATAATAGTGAAGGCATGAGAGTTTAGTTCTCTCCCCAGTCAGTAGGAAACGAAGACTGGGGAAACAATTTGCTTGTGTTGTTTGCTTATTGTTTGATTGATCTCACATCACTTGTTAAGTTCTCAAGATTGAAGCTAAACGTAATCGGACTTAGGAGATTAACTTGATCAAGAACGTTGTCGAACCTAGCTTTATACCTTAACAAGTGGTATCAGAGCCAGGTTCTCGGTTAAGAGAACTTTGGCGTTGTTCGTTGGTAGAGGAGCTTTTCTGGTTTTTCTGACTTAAGTCTGTGAAGTTGCTTTGAATGCAGTGTGTGATCGGTGTGTGATTGCTATGGAGTTTGTTTATGGCAATTTCAAGATGGAGAAGTTTGATGGTACTGGGGATTTCGGTATGTGGAAGTTTAAGATGTTAATGCAGTTTGAGCTGCAAGGGCTGGGACATATCTTGGCTGAGGAATCGGTTGTACCAAAGGAGGAACTCGATAAGGATGATGATGTTGAAAAGGAGGACAAGAAGGAATATCCTTTAGCTAAAGAAAAGGATACTAGAGCAAAGAGTTTGATTTGCTCAAGTCTTACTAATATTGTTCTCAGGAAGGTTTTGAGGGAGACTACAGCTAAGGGAGTTTGGAAAGCACTTGAAAATGACTATCAGACAAAGACCTTACCCAATCGCGTCTATCTAAAGCAAAGTTTTTCAAGTTATAAGATGGATGAAGGCAAGAGTATTGAGGAGAATCTCGATGTGTTCTTAAAGCTAATAGATGATCTTGCTAGTCTAAACATTGAAGTTTCAGACGAAGATCAAGCCATCCAGATTCTTACGAGTTTACCTCCTCAATATGACTCTCTGGTTCACACTCTGAAGTACGGGAATGGCAAGGAGACATTGGCGGTTAAGGAAGTTACTACCTCTGCATATGCTAAAGAAGCAGAACTCAAAGAGAAGGGACTCAACAAACGCCATAAGTCTAATGCAGAAGGTCTTGTCGTTAATAGAGGAAGAAGTGAAAAGAGGTCAGGAAATCAAGGGAGGTTCAGGTCTAAGAGTAAAGATTATCGTTCTAAGTCTAAAGGTAAAGGTCAACAACGCACTAGAGAGTGTTGGGTCTGTGGCAAGGAAGGTCATTTCAAGAGAGAGTGTCCTGAGAGGAAAGATCAGAAGCCACCTAATACGACTAATGTTGCTCAAAACAAAGAGTTTCCTATGATATTGACAGCTAGTATTCATGATACTAAAGAAGAGTGGGTACTTGACTCGGGATGTACTTTTCACATCACACCTAATCGTGAAGTTTTGTTTGACTTGGAAGTAGAAGGAGGCAGAGTATTGATGGGTAACAACACAGTTAGCGAAGTAAAGGGAATTGGAAAACAAAAGATAGTTAATCCAGATCAGTCTATAGTGGTGTTGACAGAAGCTCGGTACATGCCTACAATGGGAAGGAATCTTATATCCTACGGTCAACTCGGAAAGAAGGGTTGCAAGTATAAAGGAGAAGGGTTTAAGGTTGTGTTCTCGAAGGATGGAAAAGAGGTAATCTCTGGGAAGTACAAGGATGGGCTCTATTATCTTAATGGTTCCGTTGCAAAGGCTGAAGTGAGCTTCACAAGAGCAGAGGAAACCCTCACGAACTTATGGCATTCCAGATTGGGACATATGAGTTTGAAGAACATGAATCTTTTGGTTAAAGGTGGTTATATAAAGGAGAAAGAAGTTCATACTTTGGATTTCTGTGAAGACTGTGTTCTCGGAAAGGCTCACAAGTTACCATTTCCTATGACAAAGCATGCTACAACAGAGATTCTCGCGTATGTTCATAGTGATCTATGGGGTTCAGTATATAATGCTGAAAGTTTATCTGGCTGCAGGTATTTCTTAACATTGATTGATGACTTCTCAAAGAAAGTTTGGATCAGGTTCTTGAGATCTAAAGATGAAACGTTTGAGAACATATCTGAATGGAAGAAACTGGTAGAAACTCAGACATGAAAGAAAATTAAGTGTCTTCGCACTGATAATGGTCTCGAGTTTTGCAACAATCAGATGGATTCAATGTGTAAGGAATCTGGGATTAAAAGGCATCGGACGTGTACCTATACTCCACAGCAGAATGGAGTGGCAGAAAGGATGAATAGAACTATTGCAGATAAGATTCGTTGTATGTTGGCTGAGTCAGGGTTGGAAAAGAAATTCTGGGCAGAGGCTGCTTCTACCGCTGTTTATTTGATCAACAGGACTTCAAATTCATCTATTGAATTTAAAATACCAGAGGAAGTGTGGTCTGGGGTCAAGGTGGAGTTCAGTCATCTCAACAGGTTTGGTTGTCTCGCGTACGTTCACACAGTTCAAGACAAGATGAGTCCTAGAACCTTAAAAGGTATTTTCATGGGTTATCCTCAGGGAACTAAGGGATACAGAGTGTGGTTAGCTGAAAAAGGAAAATCTACGATTAGCAGAAATGTGGTCTTCAACGAGAATG